AGGGTGAATAAATTTCATATATAGAGAGATTTCTTTTTTGTTTTTTTAAATTTTAGGAGATGCTAAAAAATTTGTGGGACAATATTTTATAGCAGATGCCACTAGGAAAGTGTACAGTGAAGGAGTACAGGGAACGGATCACAAGACTAACGCAGAGGCATCACATAGTAATATTGGCAGCAATGAACAGGAAGATGAATTCAGATTCTCTCTCAGATACTCATTATTCTGTGTAACCCTGGGCAAGTCACTAAATCTCTCTCAGTCTCAGTTTCCTCTATATAAAATAATAATAGCCCCTGTCTCACAGGGTGTTATGTGGGTCAAATGAGATAATAGATGTCAAGCACACTTTGCACACAGTAGTGTATAAAGCTCACGCTTTAAGGAGCTATATAAATGGTAGCTATTAGTGGTAGTCATAATGATCTCCACTTAGAGAGATAGCATTGAGTGTGGGTTAGAGGAAAGTACCCACACTTAGCTATAGGAAGGCTGTCCCCTAATTAGACAGCCACTGGGACTGCCCCTCTCTGGTTTTCAGTCTTTTATTCAGTTGTATATTTTGTTGTTGCAGGCTTCAATGGCAGTGTCAACCATTTGAGTTCACAGGACAGGGTTTGAGTGAAAAGGAAATCTTTCAGAATCTTTTATTCGGGGTATAGGGGGTAAGTTCAGGACCAAGACACCAAGCAGTAGGATACACAGCTGGCAGAGGGGAAGAGATGCAGAGGTTTCCTTGGCAGCAAAATGGGAAGAAAAGCCTTTTTAATCCATGGAGCTTGTGCCTCGTCTCGGACAACTCTTTGTGCTTTGTGAAATGAAAAAAAAAACTTGTTTGGAATAGAAGGAGGCCATGGACATGAGGAACTCTGAAACACACACATGCACACACGCACACACACACACACGCACACACACACACACACACACCTCTCAACCTAGACACTGAACTGATTTCAAACTACTGTGATATTTCCTCTTCTCCATTAATCTGTTCTCTCATTGTCTACTTCATTTTCTTGGCCTTCATGCTGGATGGATAGTGGGTCAGGTACTATATCTGGAGTGAGGAAGTCCTAGATTCAAATCCTGTTATTAGCTGTGTGACCATGGATAACTCCCTTAGCCTTTCTGAAACTCAGTTTCCATATCTATAAAATGGGGATCATAATACCTTTGGACCCAACTTACAGGTTTATTGTAGGATTCAAATAAGATAATGTAAAAGTGTTGTTCATCATTAATTCTGACAAAATTCTTTTAAAAACAGGGCAATTAACCAATCAGTTAACAAGCATTTATATTAAGTAACTAGTCTGTACGAAGAGCTGTGCTGGGTATTGGAAATGGAAGAAAGGAAGGAAAGGAAAGAAGGAAGGGAAGGAAAGAAGGAAGGAGGAAAGAAAGAAAGAAAGAAAGAAAGAAAGAAAGAAAGAAAGAAAGAAAGAAGAAAGAAAGAAAGAAAGAAAGAAAGAAAGAAAGAAAGAAAGAAAGAAGGAGCAAAAAGGGAAGAATGGAAGAAAGGAAGGAGGGAGGAAAAGGGGAGGAAGGAAAGAAAAGAGGAAAGAAATAAAAAGAAAGAAAAGGAGGGAGGAAAGGAAGAAGGAAAGGAAAAAGGGAAGAAAAAAGGGATAAAAGGAAGGAAGGAAGAAAAGAAGGAAGGAAGAGTCCCTGTAGAGAGACTGGTGAATAGGGTAGATAGACTTCATATACAGAGATTTCTTTTTTTTTTAAATTTTTGGAGAAGCTAAAAAGATTTCTGTAACAGTATTTTACACCAGATGCTACTATTTAATCCATGGATTCTTGACCCTTTTTTGTGTCAGGGACCCCTCTAGAAGTCTGGTAAAAACTGTGGATCATCGCTCAGAATGATTTTTTCACGTGCATAAAACAAAATGTAAAGAATTACAAAAGAAACCGATTATATTGAAATATAATTATTTTTAAAAATTTTTTAAGTTCATGGACCCTAGATGAGGAATCCATTATGGTCAATGACCACTGAGGTGGCTGAGCATGAAGACCTGTGAAACTATGTGAGGGTGATAAAATCAGAGAAAAGAGGATCAGGAATTCAGTGCTATCCCTCTCATTTAGAACTCCTTGGGCAAGCAAGTGACTTGATTTAAATGAAATGAATGAGGCAGCAGGGTGTTATGAAAAGAGCACTTGAGTTGGAGTCAGCAAACCTGGGCTTGAGCTCCGTGTTTCTGCCATTTAACTAGTTGTGTGAGTGCTTCTCTTAACCTCTCCAAGCCTCAGTTTCCTCAGCTGTAAAATGGAGAGAATAAGCTTGGCTTTCCATTGTGCTGTAGGCCTCACAATGTGAGGGTCAAATATATGACCAGAGCCTTCTAAAGATAAAAAGCTCTATGGATGGATGGATGGATGAAATAACATTTATTCAGTACTTACTATGTGCCAGGTACCATGCTAAGCACTGTGGGAATGCAGAATGCAAAAGAATAAGATTGTCCCAGCTCTTGAGGAACTTACATTCTAATAGGAAAAGACAAGAGAAACAGGGGAGTGGTAGCCAGGGATATCAAAGGAGGGGTGGCCATCGATTGACCTGTACTTCCCAGGAATGGTGACATAGATTTGAATCCTGCTCCCAAAGGTAGAAGTAGAAATCAGCAGGGGGCTGGGGACAGATGCCTAGAAGGCCCAGAGTTCAGGATGGTCATAGAGGTAGAAGCTAGAGAGCAGAGTAGGAAGGCATGAACATGGCCAGAGAACAGCAACAGGCTGGTGGGCCTTGGCTGGGCTAGTTAGGATGAAGAGTCAGCCACAGAAACCTGGGGCTACAAGCTGTTATAGGGTAGCCAGGTAGCACAGGGGACAGCATGTCAGGCCTGGAGTCAGGAAGACTCATCTTCCTGAGCTCGGATCTGGCCTCAGACACTAACTAGCTGTGTGACCCTGGGCAAGTCACTTAACCTTGTTTGCCTAGGTTTCCTCGTCTGTAAAATGAGGAGGAGAAGGAAATTGCAAACCATTCCAGTATCTTGGCCAAGAAAACCCCAAATAGGGTCAGGAACAGTCAGACAGAACTAAAAAATGACTGAAACATACACAATGAGCATTTTTTGTTATGAAATGGATTGTCATATTTTTCAGAGAAATTGAGCATCCTCAGGACAAATCTGCTTCTCTCTTACCTAAGATTTCCTAACGAGACTTTGAGAGAAGAGATGGAAATCAATTTTATCTTGAAACCAGAATTGTCTCTCTGGGCATCCCTTTGTTAGAGAGTGATGTGTGTATCTTGACCTTTAAGACAGCCTCATAAATGAGTACCAAGAATTTACTAGTGACACTGCTTATTTGTTCCAACCTTTTCAGCCCACATAGTAATAAGGATTCAAGGATATTCTTTTCTTCTCACCTGATGGAAGGGAGATCCTTCAGGGCCAGTGGTCTGAGAGGTAAAAAGAAAATGTGATGTCATCTTAGATGGAAAAAATCCCAGACCTTCTCCCAAACCACCAAAGAAAATGCTGTTCACAACATTACTATGTTATTGAATGGAAGAAAAAAAACGTATTTCATTCTATTGGTATTCACTCATTTCAGTTGTATCTAACTCTTTGTGACCTCATTTGGGATTTTCTTGGCAAAGATACTGGAATGGTTTGCAATTTCCTTCTCTGGCTCACTTTACAGTTGTAGAAACTGAGGTAAACAAGGTTAAGTGACTTGCCCAGAGTCACACAGGTAGTAAGTGTCTGAGGCCAGATTGAACTCAGGTCTTCCTGACTGCAGGCCTGATGCTCTATCCACTGCTCCACCTAGCTGTGCCAAAGGCACCAGCTCCACTTTTTTGCTGAGGTACGGATCTGTGGATGCGGAAGACTGTGTGATACTAGGCTTTTTTGATGTGTTGGTTAGTTTTGCTCAACTATGGGGGGAGTGGTTTCCTTCTTTTTCTTCTTATTATATGGGATGGCTGTACGGGAGGGAGAAGGGGAGGGAAATGTGGGCAGTGGAAAGCAAAGATGTCCATAAATATTTGTTTTAAAAACCCCACAAAGATGAGCAGGCCAAAATGCACTGGCAAAAGGTCCCGTTGTACTTTGTATATCTAGTCCCCTCAAAGATTGGAGTTTAGCTTTCATCAACTGAAAAGTGCACGTGAGGTAGGGAATTTTGTTGGTCATAATCATGACATTAAGGAGACTTGAGTTTGTACAGTCAGGTTTGGCTCTTGGCCTTCCTGGGAATCCTTGGAGGTTCCTGGAGCCAGGACGGCAGCTTATCAACCACTGAAGTGGAGACTGCTTGCCCCGCTGGCCATTGTGGCACCAGGGCTAAGGGAGCGTTGCTGGCATTTGGGGAATCTGTAGGAGTGCTCCTTCTCCTTGAGAATCACCAGCGGCGGCAGCTTGGACAGATCACGTAACTGGAGAACTCCCAGGACAAAACAGAGCCCGTGTCAAACAGAGGAAGAGGGGTCGACCTGAATGCAGAGAGCACAATGAAGAAAAGATGGGAACCATCTGTGGGGAAGTCAGGGAGGATGGAGAGAGCCACTGAGGTGACCACATTGGCAACTCTGCACTCACATTCTTCCTCTCACTCACACAGCTGCTCTCTGTTTGCTTTCCTCCAGGAATCTTGCTTGGTGTCTCTAAACCAGCAGTCAGGATTACTTTGGTATATTTAATGTCACCATCAAACTATTTGTGATTGACTTGCTCGTTGGGGTGGCCTAGAACAACATCCTTTGATTTTCTAAACTAGATTAATAATAATAATAAAAAAAAAGAGCTGTGTTTCTGGAAACGATCTCATAGAAATAGGCTCTGTGATCAGAAAGCAGAGAGGAAATGGTTTTTTTATGGGCTTAGGAGAGTGAAGTGACTATTGGAGTGTGTGTGTGTGTGTGTGTGTGTGTGTGTGTGTGTGGGTGTGGGTGTGGGTGTGGGTGTGTGTATGCACAGATGGACATCTGAACTTCTTATCCCCTCTTTCTTTCTTGTTATCACTCATAGCTTCCCACGCTCTTAGACAGCAGCTCTCAAGGTATCAATCTGAGATCCTGGGGAAGGGCTTTATCTACTATGTCTCCAAGAGTACAAGAGGTAAGTGCTCTGATGACGGTAATTATAGTACAGACCAAGGAAACGTCATTATGGCCTTCCCAGATTTTCCCACACTTAGTCCACTAAGCAGTTGATCTCTGGGAGAACATGACTTCCCTGGCCTTCCAATTTGTAGTGTGGCAATTGATGGCCGCATCTAAGGGTTTCAGGGGCTCTTTACCTCTCTTTAATTTTCTGAGTCCCTCTCATTTTCCACATTGAGCAAGGCCACCAGAACCCTGTGGCTTTTGAGTGTGCTACAAGTGAGCAGTGGCCCCATGACCTGACTTGAGGGATCTCTAGTTGGTGAAGGAGCTATTATTCCAGCCTGCTATAAATTAACCTGCTAATTTATCTATGATCCTTCAGTCCTGTTTTATGTTTTTGTTTTTTGAAGACTGGTTGATTCTCTCACCCAGGCTGGAAGTTCAGGGACTGTTTATAGGCCAGTTGGCTCTGAAATTTTGACCTGCTCTATTTCTGCCCAGGGCTGGTTTATCCTTCTTTGGGCAAACTTGGTGACTCCTTGCTCCCCTATAGAGGCTCACTATATTGATGCCAGACTTAATGTGGACACCCTATTGGGATAGCCCACTACAACCCAGAACTCCTAAGCACAAGAGATCCAGCAGCCTCGGCCTCCCATATATCTGGGAGTATAGGCATGTACCACTAGGCTTAGTTTACTCCTGTTTTGTTGTCAGAGGATTCCCATATAATTTGTTTTTAATGGGAAAAAAAGCTTTATTAACGTACAAACCAACCTTTAATATAACATCAAAATAATTGCAACATAGATGTATACTTATAATTTCTAAAAAAGACCCTATTCATAATACTAATGTGTTGGGTGGACTTGATGTAGTCCTCTTATTTAAAACCTCCTCAACCATTGTAAAGAATTGCTTCCAATCTTCAAAGGGCTGTAGTATCCCCAGGAGTGAGATCGCTTACAAATATGTTCCAGAAGGACATGGCTCTTTGGCCCAGGGCATTCCTGATTCCTAATTCACTGGATTCCATGGGGGAAGTCACATAACTTCCTTGAGCCTCACTTTTCTCCCGTGTAAAATGAAGTCCTATAGTTTTATGATGCTGTCATATCACCATGAAGTCTCTTGATCTCCAGGCTAGACATCCCAAGTTATCCATAGCAATCATCCTTATTTGACCTGGTCTCCAGTCCTCACTAACACTGTTCATCCAGTCCTCTGTATTTAGCATATACTTCATCCTCCCCTTCTCCCCCTCGGCCAACAATTGTTGAAGCCCACTTTATCTAGGGGTTTATTCATGAGCAAAAGAATTCATCTTCTGTTATTTCTTCAAAAGATCCATGAATGGGTGTGAGAACTCCTTCTGCTGATGAAGCTCATGAGCTTTTCACACTTTTTTGGAGGATATGAGAATTGCTTTGGTCAAAAAATGAATTGTTTTGGCCGAAAAAGAAAAAAAAAGCCACCTTTCATTGGCCAACCTTCTAGAGATGAACTTCTTCAAACTTTGCTAGTCTGGTCCTCTTGCCTACAAAATCCATCCCTGAACATATATTTGAAGCCTGACTTTAAATATGGTCCTGCTAGAACTTCTACTGAGACAGCTTTCTAGAGCTCAGGGGTATTTTGAATGTTGTGCTAAAGCATGAGAGTAGGAGTACAGTGTAGAATTTATAAAGGACAAAAATATATAATTTCAGTAATTATATATAAGGTCAAGGTCAATCAGAAATCTACCTATCTAGGTCTGGGTAGCTTCCAAGATTACTAATCTGTCTTCTCTAACTAAAAGCTGACTCTACTGGACCCACGTCTCCTCCATTGTTTTGATGTCTTTTCAGAGGGATAACTAGCATTTTTCCTGTTTAGGGCCAATTTCACAAAGGACCCAGAACAAGCATCAAAAAAAAAATTATACACAACTGTGAGCATACTCACAGTTAGTTGTGTGTAGAGACAGAGACTCATACAGTGAGGCCACTCTAGAGCTGGGGACCTAACGTGGGTCTATGTAGCTGAAAGAAAGGCTGAAGAAAGAAAAGGAGAAGGAAGCATATGCTACTTGGTGGCTTTCTATTTCAGCAAGTTGTTTTTATTAACTAGATATCAAGCTCAGTTGTTTCTAGCACCTAAGTGAATGTGGGTGCTTTTGGAGCTCACTGAATTTGGTGCCTTGAGTCAATACCTTGGTCTTCTAGTCATAACTCTACCTGTTCTGTTATTGTTCAGTTGTTCAGTCATGTCCTACTCTTTGTGACCCCATGAACCAGAGCAGGCCAGGACCCTCTATCCTCCACTCTCTGAAAGTCTGTGCAAGTTCATGTTCATTGTTTCCAAGATACTGTGTCAGACCAAGAATGACCCTTTTTCTGGTCATGTTTGATTTTGTAAAATATGCCAGGCAAGCTGGCTAATCTCTGGTCCTTCCCCTATTCCCTCTCACCTCTCAGCCTTCTCAGCCCTAAATAGATCAGTTGGGCTCCCCAAGGAAGACCAGAAGGACTCCCAGTTGGACTTTGCCTTTGCATAATCAACTTCAAATTTAGCCAAGTCATTCTTCCACAGGCAAAATGAGCAAAGGCCAGACACAACTGCTATGCAGGTGGGATGTGGAGATTGAGCACACATTGCATCTGACCCATTACCAGGTCTGGGGAGTATTTTGGCTTCACAGCCTTGGCTTTATCAGTGTTCAAGAATTCTGAACTGGTGCCTATCAACACAAGAAGGGTGGAGCTGATAGTATGTAAAGGAATTTAAGGCATATCAACCTTTCTGGTTTCTTATGTGGTTATTAGGGGGTTGTTTCTGTTGCTTTAGAATGCAAGACAAATCTTTGTGAAATGAATCCATGCAGAGTACCCAACACATATTAACCAATGCTGATGACTATTTGACCTTATATGAGTCACGGATTTGAATAATCACAGTGGAACTCAGAGGGCATCTAGTCTAAGCTGTGCCTGAACCATGGTCAAGTAGCCTTTTCTTAAAGATTTAATATATTGAATAATTCACGTAGCTGCTCTGGGCCTCAGTTTCCTCATCTATAAAGTGAAGAGGTTTGTGTAGGTGGCTTCATTATGTCCCTTCCATCTCTCTAATTGTGAGCCCGTGACTATGAGCCTCTTCTCCTTTTGGAAAGCACTAACTGTTAGGTAGGGGCAGCTAGATGGCTCAGTGGATAGAGCACTGGGCCTGGAGTCAGGAAGACCTGAGTTCAGATTCACAATCAGATACTTGTTAGCTGTATGACCCTTGGCAAGCCACTTAACTGCTGTTTGCCTTAATCCACTGAGAAGAAAATGGCAAACCACTCCAGTGTTTGCCAAGAAAATGATGGTTCATGTGTCACAAAGGGTTAGACCCTAATGAACAACAATAAGCTATTTAGAAAATCTTCCTTAAGATGAGGCTCAGTTTATTGCTTTGAAGCTTCCAGGCATTTGTCCTCGTTATGCCCCCGGGGCTAGGCAGACCAAGTTTAGTTCATCTTCCCTGGTGACAATGCTTTCAGTATTTAAATCCTGTCCTTCCAACTCTTTTTATCACCTGAAAGGGCACATGATCCTCCACAGGTGGTCTGCTCAGGGTAGAATTCATGGGATGACCACTAACTTATTCCTGGAACCTAAGCCTCTCTGTATGAACCCTTCAATCTTACTTGGTGTCTTGCCTGCCATATTGCTCTGTGGACTGAGACTGGGTTTTCAGTCCCACTAGAACCCCCAGATGTTTTGTAGATCTCTCCATCGCCTCCTCCTCTAGCTTGTACTTTTGATATTGTTTTTCAACCCAAGTGTACACTTGCTATTTACCCCTGTTGGATTTATTCCAATTCAGTTTGGCCCGTGCTGAAACCTAGAAAAGTCCATTTTAGCTCCACATCCCAGCTTTGTGATAGCTGCCAATTTGATAAGCACACCGGCTCTTCCCTTTGCTTTGTTGTAGCCGGGACCCCAGTATTCCGGCAGACCAATGTTCCCCTCCATCACAGGGCTGTCCTTGATTAAGGGAAACTACATTCTTTGCAAGTTGCCCATCCTGTGTGGTTTTGGCCAGATGGGCCAAACGTGATAATGATCATGAGGATAATCCCTCCCAGAGGCACGATGAGATTCACAGTGATAGAAACACCCCGGCATCTTTGCTTTAGTGATGTGCACCCTGTCATCACAGGTGTGACTCACTTGTCAGTTTGCAGAGGCGAGTGTTAGCATGCAGACAAAGAAGGGGCCGACAAGTAAACCTCCCTGAATGTCTCTGGGAGGATTGGCCACAGACTCACCCCACTGAATTCTGTTGGTGGTCTTAAATCTCCAAACGCTTCTTAGGAGAAATTAGGAGGTGTGTTTGCAAGAAGAGTGGCTTTTCCTCCCTCCTTTCCCAAAGGCTAAGCAAATAGGAATCACGGAGCCTCTTAGATAAGCCCTGGACATTCTTCTTACTACTGTAGATTTCTCTTCTTCAGATTGTGGGGCTTGTTTTCCTGAAGGAGAAAGGAGAGGGAGAGAGAGGAGGGAGTGGATGAGAAAAGGTGGGAGGGAAAGAGAGAAGGAGAGAGGGAGAGGGAGGGAAGAGATGATAAGAGAGAGAGGAGGGAGGAAGTAGGAGGAAGAGAGGAGAGGGAAACAGAAGGAGAGGGAGGGAAAGAGAGAAGAGGAGAGAAGGGGAGAGAGAAGGGGGGAGAGAGAGGGAGGAAGAGGGAAAAAGCAGAGAAGGAAAAAAAGAGGGAGAGAGAGAAACAACCAATTTTCTGTGAGTCTTTTGCTAAATTTAATCCTAGATTCTCAGAGAAAGGAATCTCTCAGCAGGCCTGAGAGCTTTCTCCCTTCAGTTAATTTCTTCACTTATTGGAACCTTAAGAAGAGCACAACAAAAGAAAATGGAAACAGCAAAAAGAGCATAATGCAAACTTGTGAGATTGGTTCTCATCGTGCAAGGAGGAAGTTTTCCAGCGATCTGATTGGATTCTGCTCTGTCCAGCCTGAGAGATTTGTGCTTAGGTTGTCTGGGCTGGTCAGTACTAGCCTTTTCTTTCCACAGCTCTCCGCCTTTCCAGAGAAGGTATAAACTTCTGCCTACATTGAGTAGGCTAGGAGTTCACATCAGCCCCCAGTTCTCCCACCCCTCACCAGATGTATTTCCAGGAAGGCAAACAAGGGTAATTGAAAGAGGAGGAGACTATTAAACTCTTTAGGCCACTAGTGGGATACCACCCCTCTCTCCCACAGCCCCCACCCTGATTCCCCTGTGCACACCAGTCTGTCTGTATTTTTGCAGCTGCATGAAGGTTTCCTTGCCACCATGACTATCCTCTGTGTGAGCATGGAGATCCTGCTCACAGTCAAGGCTTTGCTTCCTTGTTAGCTCTGGCTCTGCTTGCTAATAAAGCAACATGCTATAAAGGACCCACTCAGCTGAATGCAGGGGAATGAACCTGGGATCTGGAGTCGGAAGACTTGGGTTCAAATCCATTCCCCGTGGTCCTGAGCAGGTCGCTCACCTTTCCCAGGCTCAGTTTCCTCATCTGTGCAACTAGGCTATTGGACTAGATGGCCTACAAGACTTCCAGCTTCAGATCTGTGGTGCTTTTACACAGGAAGGAATACTGGGTTTAAGAGTCAGGAAAGACCTGTGTTCAGTTCCTACCTCTGGTCTTACTGGCTGTGTGACTCTGTGCAAGTCACTTAACCTCTGCCTGTCTGTTTCCTCAACAGTACCTACCTCCTAGAGTGGTTATAAGGATCAAATGAGAAAATATTTTGAAAGAGCCCAACACATAGTAGGCACTTATTAAATACTTTCTTGATATAATACATAGAGAGAGTAACTGAAAATTGTCTGAATTCATTAAAAATTTTACAGTTACTAAGCAAATTTAGTTGGTGATATTGATATATTCATTTCTAGCTTTTAAATATACCATATTAAATCTCAATGTATATAAACTATATAATTATAATAATTATATGATTATATCATAATATATTTGTATGATATATTTATATCATAATATATTATATAATTATGTATTATATGATAATGGTATAAATGTTATTAAATACATACATACCAAAAGTACATTTCAGAACTTAAAATACTGGGTGAATGTCACCTCTTATTCTTACTAACCCTGAGCCATTGTTTTTCCCCAGCTAGCCCATCGGCCAAGTGTCCAGGACCTGCTGTGGGTAACAGGGCCCCTTCTGCAGAATGGAGGGCCAGAGTCATTTAGCCAATTGATGAGTATCCTTTCTGAGCTCTTGTGTGGTTACCCAGAGGGGGGTGGCTCCAGAGTGTTTTCCTATAACTGGTATGAAGACAACAACTACAAAGCCTTCCTAGGCATCGATCCTTCCAGAAAAGATCCTGTCTATTCTTATGATAAAAGAACAAGTAAGTTTTCTTTTAAGTTCCTGAGTCATTCCTCATCTACCATGTTGGTCAGGTTAGTTAGATGCTCCTAGGCTGTGGTTGGAAATCCTGTGTTGGCTTTAACATATTGACTTCTTTGCGTGACATCAGGCAGTTTAGGGGGGGACAGGTGAGGGCAAGAAGGAGAGCCCTCTGTTTTCCCACTGATGAAAGAATAGAAATTGTAAAGTAATTTGGGCATGAGCCATGGATTGGGCCAAGACTTGGTTGGAAAAAACAAAGGGGGCATTGGTCATTGATTTAATTGAACAGGATTAAATTCTAGAGGAAAAGTTGGAGGAAAGGTGAATTGGGAGGCAGAACAGAATTTCAATCAAAGCTCAGGTTAGAAGGGCCCTGGCAAGTCAACATGACTGTGGTTGTTTTGACAAACACAATGCAAGGGAGAGCTGGGTATGCAGCCCTGTCTAACTTTCTAGATGCCAAGGCCCTGCCAGGGAACTTCCCCCACCCTTCATTCTTTCTTCCTGTCTCTTATAACAACAGGGCAAATGAAATAAGGAAGTGGGGAGGTGCCAGCTGTAAGCCAGCCTTGTGACACTAACAGCAGCATCAAGTTAAACCAAGTAGACAAGCACTTATTAAGCACCTACTGTATGCCAAGCATTATATAAAATCCTGTGTTTGTAAAGAAAGGTGAAAAATACCCTCAAATATCCTTTCCCTCAAGGAGCTTACATTGTAATGGAGGAGACAACCTTGTCTATACAACTAGGTCCGTAGAAGATACATAGGGAATAGGTGGAAGGTAGCTCAGGGCACCTCGGAAGTCAGGCATAGAACTCATGGAAAAATCAATGATGGCTTAAACTGTCAATGTCTTTATGTTGCCCCTGCCTGTTTGGCTCTGCACCTCCTTTTCTTTGGGGGGATAATGTCCTTTATCTCTTGGCCTAATCACCAGCAATCTTTCAAAATTTTCTCTTCCAAATAAACACAGCAGGGTAAGCTCCAGCTTTCATTTCCAGTGACAAGGCCTTGACTGAGCTGTACTGGGGCATTTGGCTACTTGCTGATAATGACCTCGTTATTGTATGAAAGCAGCCTATGAGCTTAGTCTGTTTGTCAGTCCTTCAGTTCTGAATGAATGGGGCCTCAGATTTGGACACCATGACGACAATGCTTAGTGATGAGCTCTTCAGCAGAGTGGATGTGGTTCCATCAACCCTCTCTTCCTCTCTCCTGGCAGCACCTTTTTGTAATTCCTTGATCCAGAACTTGGAAGCAAACCCTTTAACTAAAATAGCCTGGAGGGCAGCAAAGCCCTTGCTGATGGGGAAAATCCTCTTTACTCCAGATTCCCCTGCTGTTCGACGGATATTAAAACATGTAAGCTTCCTCTCTCCTCACCCCTCATGCCTCTTTGCCTTTGGCCCCTCAAGAAAATGTGTACTTTTATTTCTCCTATTTTACTTACCCTGGTGATCCTCATGTTTATTTTGGGCTGGTGGGTTGCTGAGGTTTCTATCCTCCTCTCTATGTCACTCGTGCCTTGGCGTGATCCACTCCAGTGCCCATGCTATGGTCTTCACCTCAGCATATCAGCCTCAGAATCTCAGTGATGAGGTCTCCCAACCAGACACCTGTGCTCTATCTCTGTTGGAAATGTGTGCCATTTCCACTATGAGCGAGTTCAAATAGCCGATGAGTCTGTGTCCAGCCTGCATGAGAAGGTATCAGTATAGATTGGAGAAGAGAGAGGGAGGAACCAGCTCACTAACAGAATGAAACCAGAAGGTTTCATGGAGTTCAGGGAGCCAATAACACTATCGATATCCCATGGACCATTGAGGGTAACAAGAAAGCATTAGTTTCAGCCAATCAAGGATCCTGAGAAATGATAGATTCTTCTGGGAAATCTCAGCAGACTGAGGAATCCTCAGATCGATGTAGAAAAAGAAAAACACTTCCATGAGCAGCCTTTCCCAAACACAGTGACCACTTTGACAGGGTATGTTAGAAAACCATAAAAGCATTTTCATGTGCACTCTTTCTTTTTTCTCCCTGCTCTCTCCTTACTCCTCTGTCTGTCTGTCTGTCTGTCTGTCTTTGTTTCTCAGGCCAACTCGACTTTTGAAGAATTGGAGCGTGTTAAAAACTTTCTCAAGGCTTGGGAAGAAGTGGGGCCTCAGATCTGGCATTTCTTTGACAACAGCACACAGATTACCATGATCCGAGTATGGGAAGCTCTTGTGTGGTGGGTCTGGGAGGGGAGCAGATAAGAGAATGAGATTGAGTCCCCTTCTGGATTTCATCAGGTTTTGAAATGAAGGTAAAAATAGAACAAGCATGGCCCCCATCTCTAAATCTGTGCTCTGTGATGCCATCCACAATCCAAGGATCATGGAGAGGAAGCATGATGTAGAGACTAGATTCAAGTCAAGTCAACAAGCATTTGTGAAGCACCTACTATGTGCCAGGCACTGTACTAGGTGGTGGGGTTACAAAGAAAGGCAAAAGATAGTCACTACCTTTGCTATCAAGGAGCTCACAATCTAATGAGGGAGACAACAAGGAAACAACTATGTAGAAACAAGATAAAGATGGGATAAATTGGAGATAATCTGAGAGAGAAAGCACTAAATTAAGTAAGACCAGGAAAGGCGTCTACTTTAAATGAGCCTTGTAGGAAGTGGGGGAGCCAGGAGGCAGGGATAAGGAGGGAGAGCACTCTGGGCATGAGCCTTAGATTCAGGAAGACCTGTGTTTGAATCTTGTTTCAGATACTTAGTACCTGTGTGACCCTAGGCAAGTCACCTAACTTCTCTGGCTCTCAGTTTCCTCATTTGGAAAATGAGGAGATTGGTCTCTAAGGTCCCTTCCAGGTCTAAATCTGTGGACTTTTGATCTATGAAACTTCAGAGCATACCATACCATTTCCAAAACATAGTTTGGAAAGAAAATATGTGAGTTGAATGCCAAGGGAATATCCAAACATAATGTTCAAACCAAGAGGGAATCCCAGGGTCTTTGCCACTTATGAAGACTCAAGAGGGCCTCAATCATCCTAGAAAGGTTTCCTATTCAAACTGGACACCCTTATGGGGGTCCAAGTGGGCTGCACCTGCACAGTGGCTGATTTTTGTAAGTTTCCAACTCTGCCAAGAAAGGAGTATTAAGTCTCTTATAATTGGACTAGTTGAGAAAGAAAATATCCCAAAGAAAATGTTGTTGCTTTTCTCCTTTCCTTAGAAGACTATTACATTATAGGGAATACCTGGGTTTTGGTGGGTCTGCTTAGGGAAAGCTTGTTCTGTTGTCAGGTTCTCTCTCGGGGGCCCACAGTGACTTAAGTCTACCTGCTAGAGTCTAGAGTAAAACCTGCCTACTTGGTAAAGCATCTTGGGTACCTCTTCCCCAAATACCACGACCTGGGGAGAGCCTTAAGAACTGGGACAAAGGTAGCATGGATACAGAAGAAAGAAAGAAAGAAAGAAAAAAAGGAAGGAAGGAAAGGTGAGAGAGAGTGAAAGAAAGGAAGGAAGAAAGAAGAAAAGAAAGATGGAAAGAAGGAAAGGACAGAAGGAAGGGAGAAAGAAAAAGGGAGTCGAAGGAAGAAAACAAGCCCTAAATCTGGCATCAGAGGATCTTGATTTATATCCTGACTGACAATTTCTACGTGCATGACTTTGGACAAGTCATTCAATTTCTCTGGGCCTCAGTTTCATCATCTATAAAATGAGAGGATCAAATTAGGGGATCTCTAACGTCCCTTCCAGAGCTAAATCTAGGATCTTGGAAAAAATGATTGTTACTGAAATGCCCAATGTAATTTTCTTGTTGCTTGCTAAGGATACTTTGGAGAATCCAACAGTGAAAAACTTTGTGAACAGACGGCTTTATAGGGAAGAAATCACAACTGAAGCCATACTCAACTTTCTCTATAATGGACCTGAGGAGGGCCGGCCTAAAGACATGGTCCAGTTTAGCTGGAGGAATGTCTTCAACTTCACAGACCACACCCTGCATCTGTTTAATCAGTACATGGAGGTAAGAGTGAACAAGTCCTTGCAGCTCTGAATAACATACATAAAGGAACACCCTGGAAAGTAGATGCAAGAGATCCCCTCAGCCAGCCAGAGGGGCTTCCAACTTAGGGATCCATTTTCACCATGGAAGGAAGGCATACGCTGTTCAATAAAAAAAGAACCAAAACAGACAGGGTTCTGTATTTCAAGAACAGAATCCTGGACTTATGATCATGTAGACCTGGGTCATGATCCCGCTTCTGATACTTTCTCTCTTAATGATAATGGGCAAACTACTTCATACTCAGTGCCTCAGTTTTCTTCATCTGTAAAATAGGGGTAATATGTGTAGAACATCCTTCACAGGCTTGTTGCAGGACTTTTAAAACTGCATATATATGTATGTATATGTGTATATGTGTCTATATAATACACATACATACATATGCAGCTAGGTATTGCAGTGGGTAGAGTGCCAAGCCTGAAGTCAGGAAGACTCATCTTTGTGAGTCTTACTAGTTGTGTGACCCTGGGCAAGTCACTTAACTCTGTTTGCCTTAGTTGATCATCTGTCCAATGGAAAAGGAAATGGCAAACCACTTCAGTATCTTTACCAAGAAAACCCCAAATATGGTCACAAAGAGTTGGACACAACTGAAACAACTCAGCGACTACATACACACACACACACACACGTGCACACACACACATTCATACACTCACACATGTGTGAGAGTGTATATGTGCGTACAAGCTAACAAAGCCAGTCCATGGTAGAAAGATAGCATGTGCTTTAAAGATATGTAAGACACCCTTCCAAAAGTGGTGGGGAAAGTGGCTTCTTTACAGATCTCCTCCCCACCTCTCCCCTGCTATCCCCCTCCGATACCCAACACATATTAATCTAATAACAAGAAAAGAGTCCAAAAATAGATTTAGAGAAGGTTGGAGAGAGAACATTTTAAATAACAAACATGTCTACTCAAAACCATATTGGGGGACAAATTACCCTAGCATTGGCTCTGAAGTAACTGGGAACCATCCTACTGCAATACATGGTTCAGGAGATCAATTTAAACTGTAAGTTAGCCTTTTGACAGCCTCACAGGTTGAGGCCAAACAAAAGGTTCTCTTTCTTCTCAGCATAGAGACTAAAGGCCCATTGACATTCTGTGTATTAAACATCCCATTGTGTGACTTGAAGTTAAATGTCTTCCCTCAGCCCTGTTTTGTAGAAATGTAGATTCTTTGGCCTCATAGGACAGAGTGTAGCCCAGCAGATAGAAAGTTGGCCTCAGATCCAGCAAAACCTGGGTTCGAGTCCTAGTATTGACACATGCTGGCTGCATGATTGGGGATGAGTCACTTAACCTTTCAGTGTTCTGGACAACTAAGAAATTAAGCGGCAGAGAAGCTAATGGCTTGCACTCGTGGAAGGAATTTCCTTACTTTGTGCCAATGACATATTTGGTCAAGACCCTGTCTCCTGTCCCTATAGGACTGAGAACTGGAAGGCACTTTCTAAGTCATCTAGTCCAACTCCTTCCTTTTAGGGATGAGAAAACTGAGGTGAAAGTGCTTAATAAAGGTCCCATGGAGCAAAAACAAAAAACCTTTATTGGTACATTTTGTTTCTATATCATCTTCATTTCTGAATATATACATGTAATATATATGTAGGTATGTATTTGTGTGTTTATATGTGTGTGTGTATATACGTATGTGTGTATATATGTATGTGTGTATGTATGTATGTACATCTTCCTATTCCCTCCCAATGAGCCAATCCCTCATTACAAAGAATAAAAAATAAAGAGGGGAAAAAACAGTACTGTAAGACTAATGAACACATTAACTTTGACTAATACATTTTCACTAATCAGGACCTAGCTGTATGTGCAATATTGTAGACCCATAGCTGTCCATCCTTGGTAAAGGAGTGGAGGTGGCATTTCTCACCTTTTCTTTCGACCCAGTACACTTTGTTACATCTGTGTGAGATGCATTGCTCGCCTTGGAAAGGCTATGTTCAGTTTGTCCCCTGCCAGTAGATGATCTGAGAACCTATGCTTCTGGTCTTGAGACCAAGTGGAAAGTGGGCATTTTTCTCTCTGGGATTAACCAGCTTTATAGAAAGAAAGAGAGAGAGAGAGAGAGGGAAAGAGAGGGAGGGAGGGAAGGAGGAAAGAAAAAAAGAAGGAAAGAGAAAGAAAAAACCTATCTTGGTTATTTCATCCACAGAAATGACTTGGTTATCTGGAAAGGGGTTAGGATTTGATAATGGACAGGTGACTGCCTTAGCCCCCAGCCAGGGATTGGACTAGCAGAGACCATCAAGTCTAACCCTGTCATTTTATAAGAGGTCTGGGGAAGTTAATTGAATATCCTAAGGTCACAAATGTCACATCAAAGGTAGGATTTGAACCCAAGTCCTTTGGTCCTAGAACCCAGTGCTCTTTTTATTGTGCCATCTTAATATTTTCATTATGTAATCATTGGACCAATGATATATGTAAAATGCTTTTCAAACCTCAAAGTGCTATACAAATGCTAGCCATATTCTTATTATTTGTATTGTATTTTACCATCTGCCTAAGATAGAAATTATAGAGATACAGGAGGTACATACTCCTCCAGAGGGGTAGAGAGGAAAGGGAACTTAAAGGCTACTGAGTCCAACTGCCCTGATTTTACAGATGAGGAAATTGAGGCAGGCAGAAGTTAAGTGAAATACCCAGGATCACCCAAATACTAAGGGTGAGGCTCCTGGTGCAAGTCTTCAAGCCTGAAGGCTGAGTAACCACTTAGGAAGAATGCTGGAGAAGGGATTCTCCAGCTGCAATATATAGCCTCTGAGTACCCTTTCAAATGAGATTCTGGGACTCTGGGACTGCCTGGAGACACACAAGCACCTTCATCCTTAGATGGCTGTTTTGTGGTTCTCAGATATTTTATTTGCTTTACGTTCTCCCTACCAAAAGTCTTCTGAAACACTGAATCCTCAGGGGCATGCTGGTAAATGTTTAATAATTGGCTCTCCAAAAAAAAAAATGTACACGGGACACACTTTTACGTGTAGTCTACGTTAGTGACATTTTCTCCATGACTCTTAAGCCAATACAATGAATGAAACAATAAATGTGTGCCCTGATGTGTAGTATTTGCTGATTTCTTAGGGGTAAATGCTCACACTGAAAATTGGACAATTTGTTCTCAGGAGGTTAGAGCTGGCTCCAGCATGCTCCTGTGTATGCCTCACACAACCCGTCTGTCTTTGCCCACTTACTTTTTCCCTCCAGGAAATAAAAAATACTCTGAGCCACTGTTGGGCAGAGAAGTTCGGGCTCAAGACTATCCAGAAATAGCTGCAGTCTGGGAGTCCTTCATTAGTTTATCCGTGTGCATATGGATCAGTTTCTAGGATCCTCCCCACCCCCAATAAGTTCTCTCTCCAATTAGAGACACTGATCAAGGAAGAGTTGAATAGTCAGATCTTCAATAAATAGATACCTTAACCAGGTATAAAATAAACTTATACATGTCACCAGTGAATGTGGTGGTGGTAGTGTGTGTGTGTGTGTGTGTGTGTGTGTGTGTATGTGTGTGTGTGGGTGTGTGTGCATGTGTGTGTGTATAAATATATGTTTTCTGGGCAGCTAGGTGGCGAAGTGAGTAGAGCAGCAACCCTGGAGTCAGGAGGTCTTGAGTTCAAATCCGACCTCAGACACCAAACAGTTACTAGCTGTGTGACCCTGGGCAGGTCACTTAACCCCAATTGCCTTACCAAAATAAATAAATAAATATATGTTTACATATTCATCTCTTAATTCAGTTTAATTATTAATTCAGTAAACATATCATGTTCTTCTTCTAGATCATTTGCAAGCTAAACATGTTCAAGCTCCTTCAACACACACACACACACACACACACACACACACACACACACAGATACACAATTTAAGCAAGGAAGGAGAGTTAGAAAATTCATTAGGTGCCCTTCTGATTATCTTTGTTTAGTTTACAGGTTGTTCCTGCAACATTATGAAACCTTGTCTGGAGTTCACAGTATTTTAAAAATTTCACAGAATATTCAGATTACAAAAATCTTGAATTTCATGCCAAGAAGCCAAGATCAAACAAAACTGTCATATGAAAATATCCATGAGCAAGGCATAAAAGTTTACTTTAACCAACTTTCATCCCCTCTGCCCCCCCTTTATGACGGAGGGATAAATAGAACATTTGTTCACTAGTTGTTTTTGCCTGCTGTGGACTCTGTCAATATAGAAACATTGTGAACGTTGGCTTCAACCTTTCATAAACCTGCATACCTGTTCCTTTTATTATCTACCCAGCATGCTCAGCTTAATTATGATTTAGAGCCACAAAGTTGGGCTTTGCAGTGTTGTGTTTTGGGACTAGCCTCTCTCTCCAACCTAACAAAAACTCTGTGCTATATACCCACCACCACCCAATTGGAATGTGCTTAGGGAATGTAAACTATTTTTAATGTGAGCCTAAGCAAACTTTAATCAGGAAGATAAATCTACTGGGGTGGAAAGACCATGCCTTGTACCATGAAACCAAATACGAGGCATTTAGGGGTTATACATTGTTGTCACTTATCTATGTGACTGCTACTTCTGTTAATGTGGATCAAGAGCTGGCTGGAGGGCCAGATGAGGAAGAAGTAGAGGAGCAATACAGAAGTCTGACTCCAATAATAATAATAGCTAACATTTATATAGGTTTTTAAGGTGAGGAAGCACTTTACAAATACTAACCTCACTTTATCCGTGCAACAACCTTTTGAGGTAGGTGCCACTATTATCCCAATTTCATATAATAGAAAACTGAGGCTGAGAGTTTAAGTACTTGCCTAGAGTCACACAGCTAGTAAGTGTCTAAAGCAGTATTTGAACTCAAATATTCTGAGTTAGGCACTCCATCCACTGTGCTACCTACCACTCCTCATTTCCAGCACCTTCTATCCCAAATTGCTTATTACTGTTTTCATTTTTGTTTTTGTCTTTGTCTTTGCATAGCATAGTGCCTGGCACATAA